AAACTGGGAGGCGAAGCTCCAGGTCCTTGCGGCCAGCGAGAATTTCCTGCCCTGTCAGTGCACATTTCCTCTGCCCTGGGGAGGGACAGCAGCCGAGGCAGTGGCGTTCCTTCTGCTCACTGAGCAGGGCAGCATCCAAACTGAGGGCTCCTGTTGCTGACAGATGGCAGTCTAGTAACTGAAGCGCTGGGAGAGCTGCACCAAATCAGATCCGGGGCCTTAGGGGAGCTGCGGGGAGCTCCAAAGTCGTTCTGACTGCTGCTTCCCTACAGCAGCTGCTCCCAGCACAGCAAGCAGTGTTTCACGCCACCTGGAGACCCCCAAAATGGCACACGGCAGCCCTGCTGACCACTTCCCACCCTCCCCTTCATGGCAGCCCCCCACGAGTGCTGCAATGGGGCACAAACCCTGCAGGCTGTGGGTTCACGCGCTGCTGCTGGGGCTCAGAGGGCTGCAGGAGTGGCCAAGCTCATGGCAGGAGCCCGGTGGGGGGAAACGTCCCATGATCGCGCTGTTTTCACGGCTACGTCGTTCCCATCATGTTCTATTTCATCAGCAAACCTCTGGAAATCACACCGTGTTCAATTAGAGGCCCACACGTGGATTTAGGAATCCGGGCAATCAGGTTTGTAAAGGTTTAGGGCAGGATTTTTCCAAAGCATTTGAAGCTCAGGCTTGTGCAGATCCGTTCTGCAGCAGCGCAGACCGCCAGGTGCTGCAGGATGGTCTTCAGCAGTGCACACGATTTGGGAGGTTGAATAATCTCTTTAGCCCCGTTTTGTAGATGGGAAAGCCAGGGTACAAATGAGGCAGCACGCTTCCCAGGGCTACACAGCGTGCTGGTGCTTAAGCCAGAAACAGACCCTACTGCTCCTGACTCCCAGCTTCTTGCTCTAATTACCAGAACATTCCTCTCTTCTATGGCACAGCCAACTGGTTCCAATAATAAATCCAAGCTGTTGCAAAGATCAAGTCCGTTTTTTTTCACTGCTTAACCCAAAAAAGCATTTGATTTTCAAAACACAGGTTTGGCTTTTCACCAGAGAGGGGATTTGTTTTCCATTATTCATCTGGGGTTTTTTTTGTTGTTGTGGGCTTCTTTTTTTTTCCCCTCTTTTTAAAGGCCAAACATTTAATTACTCTGTTCCATATAGAGTTCCTAAGCTAGAAGCACTACAACCATCATTACCCCATAAATCATCCTTCTTGCTATAAATACACTGCAGTATTTTTCATTCTGTTGTTTCTATGGCTAAACACAGCACCTCCAGCAAGCCTCAGGATGCTTCCCACAATGAAGAACTCAAATTCTGGAGGCCTTATTTCTGAGAAACAATGCTTTAGAGAGAACAAAAAATGGTCACATTGCTTGGTTTATACCCAAAGCAACAACCAAAACCTGTGACTTTTCAGCACTGGTCTAATTATCCCTGTCTGCATTGGCAAAGATAACAGTGCCTTGTTTTGACACAGTCATGCTGTTGGAATGGTACCTCGTGTCACCTACTGCAATACAGGAATCAGCCAAATGGGGATAAAATGCATTTTGGACACTTTGCCCACAGAGGTGCATCGTTGCCTTTGTGGGGAGGAGCTTCATGGAGCTTCTCCATAGTTGTGAAGAATTGTGAAGAAGTTTTAATGTGAAGGGTGGCTCCTCCAAGCGCGTGCAGTAATCGCTGCTGTGGCTGTGGCTGCAAAGCAGATGTATGCAAGCCTACAATCATTTGTAAATATTTGATGGGCAAAAAATCTCCCAGATCTGTTTGTCACTTGAAGCTGTGTTGTGTTTATACAAAAAATGTGCTTGAACGAAGCTTAAGACATGCTATCTTGTGCAAGAGTGGAGAACAGATTTCACTGCATATTTTCTCCTGAATGACTAAAAGGACATTCAGAATCTCAGAAGCCATTCCAAGCTTTGGCTTTATGTATCTTTATTTTTTTTCATTTCCTTTATTACCTTAACTATCCCTGTCCAACTTCATTCATGATCTCAGCCCATTGGCTGCAGTTGCCTAAAGGTGAGGACGGACTTGGAGCCTGTGAGCCCAACAGAGGAAGCTCTAGCGCAGTAAATTGTAGCACCAGAGGCTGATACACGATGTGAGTCAGTTTCAAACTCAAGCTAAAAGTAGCAGATCCAAATTAAAGTCTCTCAGGCCAGATTCTCAGGCTCAAACCCTTTAATTTTAAGAGCTGGGACCACTCATAGAGGCACTGAGGGGACATTAAACGCAGCCGAAGCTCCTGAGAGGTGAAGGAGCTCTGAGACCGATGGCACTGGGCCCTTCAACAAGCTGAACTCCTGGAGGCTGGGAAGCAGAATGGCAGCACTGCCCAGGCCTCTGGGGGCTCAGGATGATACCTGCAGTGATTACAGCGAATGGCAATCAGAATTTACCCAGCAATTTTCAGATCAAGCTCTCAGAGCAGGAAATCACGGTGTGTCTGTGCCAGCAGAGGGGACAGGATGTGTCAGCCACTGCTCTGCACGCAGAAGGCAGACGAGTCCCCACGTCCTTCTGTTACAAGCTGCTCCTTCTTTGACAATCCACAAACTTTTAAGGGGAACAAACTGCTTTTCAATATTCTCCTTACAGTGTTTTTGCTCTGTCACAAGGATATAGGACAGAATATAACATTCTTACCTTCTCCGAGCCCAACACAAGCGTATGACCCTGGCTTCCTCTTGCATTTTTATTGCTCAATATCCATCTCCACGGATTATCCCAGGACAGTAAAAAAGACAGCAAGTTCTCTATTACTCAGCTGGAAGGAAAAAACGGAAAGGAGTTATTAAAGATACTGGACTCACTTCAGCAAGTGACAAAGAACAAACGATTCACTTTGAGTAGCTGCGAGTTAAGGACAGAATGAGCAACAGCTTCTTGAGTTCAGTGAAGCAGAGCAGTGCATGAAATGCCATGCTGGAAAAACAACCACCCTGAAAGGCAGCCTCAGCAGGGACTCCAAAGAGGATGAGTACCTAAGAGGTCAGGTTGCCAGTGACACGTAGGCACAAAAAGAGCCACTTGACAACTTCATCCTTAACAGTTTAACAGTGCTGGGTCTTGCTGTCTGTCTTGATTTTATGCCATATTTTGCAACATTGTAGGAAAGAGTTTGGAAACGTGACCTGAGGATGCCCAAGGGGAGCAAAAAATCAGACAACAAATGTAGCTGTAAGCATGTTTTTAATCTCACAACTCTTACACGCTCCTAATTTCTGATGAGGCAATATTCTGGACTACTCAATACTGGCCATACTGCAGAATGGGGGCAGAAATGCAGTCTGTACCCAGTATGAAGATCAAGGATTTCCCCAGCGCCCTGCAAAAACGCAGTGATAGTCAACGTTCATCTGCAGGGAAAAACAGCGTGATTAACATTTCTTTCCATTCCTGCTCGGTTTCACACGTTATTCTAGCATGGCGATGCTCCAGGGCAAGGTTTAAGTGAACGTTCACACGTTGCTTCACGAGGAGTTCAGAGGACGAGCTCTCCTGTCCTGCGCTGCTCACAGCAGGCTTAAGGATGCCCAGTTGCAAGAACACAAAAGCTCCAGCCAACAACCCGCAGCCTTCTGCTGCCCTCTGACGGGCTGCAAGCGGCAGAGCAACATCTGCCGAGACGCAGAAGCCACAAATGCAAGAGCACCGAGGGCTGGGGTTGTCCCTGTCATCATCTGCTCGATTTATGGCATGCTGCAGTGACTGCAGAACCAGCTTTAGCAGCTGTGCCCCGTGTTTCCATCAGGGGGGACAGGGCTCACAGAAAGGCCCTGCAAACAGAACTGCTGTGTTTGGCGGCACTGAAATGCTGAGCAGATGGCAGCACGGCGTCCTCCAGGTGCATTTCTGTGCTCCGCTGTAACAAGGGGCCCTGTTTGCTCCAAGAACTGCCGTCCTTGACATTGAAGACCCCACGGAACAAACTGGAGAAGAGGGAAGGTTACGTTACACCCGAACCCGCGAGTCAGAACCCAAAGGCAGCACAGTGGAAGCAATGTTACCTCTTCACTACTCCAAATTATGAGACACTCAGAGTTTCCATATTTCTGCACCGCAAGGTCCAGTGCGCTGTCATATGAAGTAATTCTTTGCTTCCTTTAAAAGCCACACAATTTTTAAGGCAATCCCATGTCGTGGGATCAGATGCCTCAAACTTTCCCCCGGAGCTCCAAAATCGCCCTCATGGAGTCCTAAACCTTCCTCACAGCCCCAGAAACACCTCCTGGAGACCCAAACCCTCCTCACAGAGCCCCAACACCTCCTCTCGCTCCCGCTGGAGCCCCAAACCCTCATCCCAAAGCTCCCCACCTCCCCCCGCAGCCGCAACCCCCCCCCCCCCCCCCCAACAGCCCCCACCCCCCCCCCCGCGCCCCGCTCCCCCCCCATCCCTCAGCCCGCCCTCGCTCCTCCTGCCGGCAGGGGGCGCTGTCTCCGCCCCGTGCTCCCGTGGCGGCGGGGGCGCCGCTCTCTCCGCCCGACGGGCGCCGCGGAGGAGGCGGCGGGGGCAGCGGGGCGGTGGGAGCGGGCCGCGCGCCCGGCGTCAGTCGGCTCCGAGCCGAGCCGGGAGGCGAAACCGCGGCCCCGCTGAATCCTCCTCGGTTCTGCGAAAGCAGTATGGCCGCCAGCCTATGGATGGGGGACGTGAGTGTCCGGCCGGGACCCGCGCGGGGTGTTGTGCGACGGACAGCGGGGCGGTGTGGGCTGAGGGCACCGGCGGGGCTGAGGGAGCTGCTGGGGGATCCGGCGCCGGGAGGCTGAGGGCGCTGCGGGGTGACTGGCGGCTCCGAACAGCCGAGAGACGCTCGTGCTGTGAGTGACACCGACACGCGCTGACACGCGCGCTGGTCCGCCGGCGCTCACGCTCTCACACTGACCGTCACGTGAGCATTTGCACGCGCGCACTGTCACGTGACTCTTGCACGCTCGCACCGTTGCACGCTGACTGCCACACTCGCAGCTGAGCGCTTCCCCGCGGGCTGTCACACTCACAGACCCGTACGGCTGTGCTCGCAGCCCCACCTGTGCCGTTTACACCCCTGCCGCCTGCGTTCGCTGCTCACGCTTCCACTCCCAGGCGCTCCTGGGCTCTCACACGCTCGCAAGCTGTGTGCTCACACCGGTCTCGCACTGAGGCGCTCGGGCTGGCACTCACGATGCCCCCACACTCAGCCACACGGAGGGTTAAATGCAGCCTCTCCACTGCGAGGACTTTACTTCTTTTGTCCCAGCAGCCGTCGCCTGTTGCTGTTATGAATCCGTCTCTCATGGGCGCACATACCACAGGATCGCCCTGTGCAGGGCTGCCTCCTGCTGCTTGGCACTCCTCTGCCTCCTTTTGCACACAAGTGCAGTGTGTGTGATTGCCTGTTGTCAGACACACTCACACACAAGCCTGCATGCTCTGCCACACACACAAGTGGAGGAGACACCTGGTTCCCGATGACAACACTGTAGGGTGATGACTACAAGCTTTAAGAGGGACTGCAGGGCTGTCTGTCTCACCACCTTCACCACGTATTCAGGCCCAGTTGTGGCACCGTTTCATTCTTTTCAGCCACTACACCACGCTGACACCCACTCTGCAGAGCCTTCATGCACACAGCACTCCACGTGCACCCCAACATTCACAGTGCTGTTTCTCACACGCACACTGCAGCACAGTCAGCACGCCTTGCTGCAGGATGGGGCTGGAGGTCTCCCCTTCCAGTGCTGCCCCGTGTAACTCCATGGTTATATGAGGCAGTCACGGCTCTGCAGCCCCCTACCCCAGCTTGATGGAGGCTGATGCACAACATCCATCCATCCACCTGAGGCTGTGCTGCACCCACGTGCTGTTACTGCTGGCCCGATCTCTGTTTGCTTACAGAGAAGCAGCTTACCATCACCTTCCCCCCTGCTCCTGCATAGCGAGTGCTCAGTTTGTTGCTGTATGTCTCTGAGTGGCTTTTGTCCTTCTGTGGAAGCTCTCCGTTCTCTGAAATTCATGCTGTCTCTTGGGTTCCACTTTGCAGACTGTTGAGCCTGGTTCATGCATGCCTGCTGATTTTGAGTGGCATCGACCCTCTTAAATGAACCTTCTTTTTGAAGCGCAAGGGTAAAATACTTCTCAATAATGTTTTAACTGCTTAGGGGGACATTGACACAAATATGCTCCTTTTTGTGGATGCTCTGATCTAACTGATGCTTTTGCTTTTGTAGCTGGAGCCGTACATGGATGAAAACTTTGTTTCAAGAGCCTTTGCCACCATGGGAGAGCTTGTACTGAGTGTAAAAATCATTCGAAACAGGTTGACAGGGTAACTGTTCATACTTGTTCTCCATTAATTCTACTGCTGCATCGCTGTGCTTCGGGGGGTTGAACTGTGTGCAGTTTACCTGGCATCACGGTGGGGCTGTCCATATTAGAGCGATTTTCCCTTTCAGCTTTTCACCACTGCTGCCAACAGTACAGGCGCATTGATGGCAGCAGTGGAGAGGACAGTTGCTGACTCTCTGACCTTGCTCTCAGTGAACCATCCTGCAGTGCTGCAGCACTCCTTCAGAGCAGCACGCACGTGGCATGGGGATACAGATTCAGGGCAGGGGGCTTCAGTGACAAATCTGTTAATTGTTGGAACAGCACAGCTACGTGATGCTAGCAGAGGTGGGAGGCCTCACTTAGAAAGGACCCTAAGAGGACCTTTGGAGTGCATTTGCAATCAGTGACTGTAAACAAGATGAAGTGTTTTTGTGTTCTGAAGTATTCTTGTGTTCTTTTGTTGTCATTTCATTTTTTCAGTCTCTCAAACTTGGGTGGGAATATTTATGGGCAGTGAAAGTGGAATAATTGTGAACAAAAGTATTTTCTGTGTTCTTATGTTGACGTGACTTATTGGTAAGTAGGAGCTATCAGTGAAGATCCAGCATTACTGTACCAGGGTCTGTTTGGTAGCTGACATGTATACTTGGACAAAGAGATCCTCCATGTGTTGCTACTGGAGCAAATTTTCTACCAGTTATCTGAAAATATAATATTTCTTCCTCCAACGTTTTCAGTCTGAAATCTTTTTTCTCTCCTGTCCTCTGTCTGTGTTCAGAATTCCTGCAGGCTATTGCTTTGTAGAATTTGCAGATCTGGCTACTGCAGAGAAGTGTTTACATAAAATCAATGGAAAACCTCTTCCTGGTGCTGCACCGGTGAGTAAATCACATCAGTCAGTGGAAAAGCAAAGCTGTGAGAGAGAAGTTGAGAAGAATTTGTGTTTTGAGTAATGATGACAAAGAAATTAAGTAGCAAACTGGGGGGTTTCTTTAGATTTCATGACCATAATGCTGGTAAGAAAAGCATTGGAAAATGTTCATTTTTATGTGAGGGTCTGGGTGATGCCCAGGTATAGAAGTGCTGTGGTGTGGCTTTCTACTGCTGAGCTTTTCTGCTGTGAGCAAAATTGGAGCAATGAGAAAACAGAGAAGAGCAAAGAAAAAATAGGTTGAATATACATACCACAGTCCTTCTGTCTCTCTGCATTTACAGTTCCATGTACATCTGTTACAATTTGTACGTTGTGATGTATACACAGGGTGAGCTTTCAAGTTTAAGCTTAATTTTCAGTAACTTTGATTTGCAAAAGTGCCCCTTAAACACTGCCTGGTTCTTAGCCCCTAGCAAACAAGAGTTACTCAGACCCATTTACAGTGGGGAAAGAACTGGTCCACTGTATAACTGCAACACACAGCAGGTACCCCAAAGCTGGGTGGATGGGAAGAAGAGGAAGAATAGCCACAGCAGCTAATTTTAGGGTGTTGACTTGAATGTGAGGTATGTGAAAGTGGGATGGCTGACAGCTGCTCCTGGTATCCGCAGAGTTCGGCTGCAGGAGCGAGGATGGCAGGTTCACAAAGAAACTCTGAGATCACCTCTGTTACAGTGTGATACATGAAGGTGCATTGATGCCTGTTTCAGTGCTGGTAGTCCCCTGGGTTGGTCAGCTTTCCTAACAGGATGAAGTTCCCCATTGAAAGGGATAGATAAGATGTTTGGAGGTCTTCTGTCCCGTTTAACACGCTCCTGTTCTGCAAATAAGAGGCCGTAACTAAGAGAAGCCAATCTTCCTAGGTGCCTTCTGTAGTCACTGAGAAAGAGAGCAGCTTCTGCAAGAAGGTAATAGTTGAAGTTTGCTTTGGGGAGTACTGGCCTTTAGTTTAATTCAAAATAGGATGTCGTTCAGGGGGACAACTTATGTAACACATGGAGAGAATACGGGTGTCAGACAGAGACCCAGCGTGGGCAGCCCAACTCAGTGCACTCAGCAGGCAGTGGTTCAGCTCCTCTCTTGCATTTATGTAGTTTCTGCTTTGCAGAAAACAGAATGTGGCTCACTCCTGTGTTTGTTTTTACATGGTGAATCAAAGGACTGTCAGAGAGCCCTGGTGTTCTTGTTGTGCCTCTTTGACAGTTAGTGTCCCCAGCTCCTGTATGTGTGCAGGTACTCTCAGTTTTCTCAGTGACTTTAAGCCCAAAGTATTGCAGTGAAGATCTAGATCCAACAAAAAGATGAAAGTGCTTCAAAGTGAGATCTCAGTTTTGTGTTAGAACACTTGAGCTTGTAAATGGTCCACGGAAACAGCTGAGTACCACTGTACACCATGGACACAGGCATGCAAGGAGCAGGATTATAGCCTGGAGTTAAGTCTTTGCTCTATTTCCCTTTAATTATTTATGCTGTTTTTGAGGGAGGAAGATACATCATACAAGGCCTGGGAACACACCAGGCTCTCCTCTGTGTGAAACAAATGTTCTGGTCTCTAGGTGTTGGACTAACTGTAGGCTTGTGTTCTTTGTCCAAATGGAATTCTTTGATGCTATGCCACTGCATAGTGCAGAGAGATGTGTGCTTTGGAAGTCTGCTGCGAGACAGAAGGATTGGTTTGAAGCCATTTGTGTCTTCGTACTAGCAAGGGAATCCAGCTTAGTTCTTCCACTGTCTGGGTGAGTTCTGAAACCAGTGTTCTGTTCAAGGAGTGCAGCCCCTTGCTTCTTCCTCTGTCAGACTTGTTTTGGAAGGAACTGTTCTGTAAGGAATTAGCAGTCAGTGCTGCGCTGGGCAGTGAGCTGTGGGTCGTTGTGTGCTGAGCATCAGGTGAGGGTCCTGAGGGGTTGAGACCCACGGGATTTTGAGGCTCCTTGGGTCCTGGACACAAGGCTGAACTCCGGTAGGATATGGTGAGGTGTTCCAGTGGCACAAATGTGAGTTCCTGGGAAACTTGTGTAAAAAAGAGAGGGGGCATCTTTCAGCAAAAGCTCCTCCCCACCCAAATAAATGAGAGCTTCACGCAGAGCAAAGTTTTCAGTCATACGTCCAGAATCAGGGATTGGTTCCATTTCTCAGCGTGGCAGGTTTTGCTTTGTCAGTATCCTGGTAAATGACAAACATCAAGCACCCAGCTGTGTGTGCTGTCATTTCACTGTAAGACCTTGACATGAGAAGTCATGTAATACTTGCTGTTAGGACCTCAGTGTTCCTGTCTTCCATTAAGACGTACAGTTTTGGTGCTGGGTGAGGTTAGCCCATCTTTCAGTGCCTTTGTGGAGTGTTGAAATAAAGCAGAGCAAACCCCCTGGTGCAGCTCCTTTTCGTTATTCATTATTGTAGCTGTACTGGAGTGAAATAAAAATGTTGTCCTGGATACCTGAACTGAATGGCCTGACAGCTCTGAACGTCTGCCAGTATTAAAAATAACAGATATCTAAAGTAAGCTTATTGCATTTTTCCTAATTGTATGGATTTACATGGGAGCATTTGAATGTACGGATTCATTTTTGCCTTTTTTCAGGCAAAGAGATTTAAATTGAATTATGCAACGTATGGAAAACAGCCCGATAACAGGTAAACACCCCACATTCAAATATTAGTTCTGCCTGTTTAATGTCTCTTTATCAATTGCCTTGCAAAGAGTATTCAAAATACGTAAACCCACAAGTTCATTATTGCTGGACAAGATGTACAGCTAGCAAATTGGACAGGAGAGAATTCATGAGGTGCATACAACTCAGCCTTGTGCCATTTTGCTTGGCAGAGCCAGGCTGCTGAATCCCACAATGAGAAACATGGATTGCATTAAACTGTCTGGGAGCACACTGTAAACATTCGGTACGCTGCAGCATGTTAGGACTTTGAGGATGCATCCCATCATAACACTGCTGTATGCCATGGCTGTGTTTGGCACCTGAAGGTGCGGGCAGTGGTTTCACAGCACCTGGCTTAACTGGCTGTGGTACCACAGCAGTCAGCAAAGGGAGGGAGCAAGGCTGTGAGTTGCCTTCAGGAGGAGCCCATCCCTGTGCATGGGCAGCAAAAGGCCCAGGAGGAGGCACAGCAGCTGTGTGGAGTTTCTGGAGCCGGGCCGTTCAGCAGCTGCCAGAACGCCTGCCCAGAAATGCTTTGCACAGGTGGAGAAACAACAGCACGGTGTGGTCAGGTAGGTGTGAACCACAGTCCTGCAATTTGGGAGGGTTGTGTTACTCATATCTCAGCAATTGTATTGTTAGTTTGGGTAATTATTAATATTAAAAAATAAAAAGAAGAAGAAAAACAACTTCAGATTAGAATCAAGGCATGAGAAATGGGGCCAAGAATGAGATTTACGTCTTGTATCATGCTTGCAGTTCTGTTTGCTCTGGAAATAGTCACAGACTGCAGATGGGTAACACAGCCTTGCTGACTCCAGCAGCTTGCCTAGCAGAGGGAGGATAACTTAGACCAGCTGTCAGTCTCATGCTTTACCTTCTGTGTGGCACAGCAGGTTGGTCAGGAGCGTCTTCTTAAATACTTGAACTTTTTAGCATCAAAGCATCTAATTCATGTATTGTAACTTAAGATGAGTATTCAGGAAATAGCAAACCTACAGATGAGACAGCGATGCTTTCTTGAGACATTAGAAATTCATGTACAGTGCCCAGTTCAGCATGTCTGAGAACTAAGAACTGAACTCATCTTTCAATACAGAGCAGAATAACGTAGACTCATTGTGCTGCTTAACTAATTGAAAGAAGCATGGCTGATAAAAATGGTCCTTTAATGTCAGTTTTCTCTGAGGTCAAATTTTGGGCTCGTCACACGTTTTGTGGGCATGTGTGTATTTGTGCCTAAGAAGTTTTCTTTTGATTTCTTTAGTCCAGAATATTCACTTTTTGTGGGAGACCTGACTGCTGACGTGGATGATGGCATGTTGTATGAGTTTTTTGTTAAAGTTTATCCATCATGTAGAGGTGGAAAAGTTGTTTTGGACCAGGCAGGAGTATCCAAGTAAGTCATCTTTTATTCATTCTTTTCTTTAACTTCACATTGTAGCATAGGAAATGTGCAACAGGGGAAGAAGAATAGTTTAGATGTTAGTAGAACACCTGGTAGGATTGTAACATTCCTGGATGTGTGCAGTGCTGGGGTCAATGTTGTGCTCTGTGTGTTGGCAGTGCAGTGTTGCACTTCTGAAAAAGCTGAAAAATGACCTGGAAAAACTGGAGTTTCAGACAGAACTGTGCTTTTGCAGTTGGCTGTTGAATATATATTCCTGGGCTATTGAATATATATTCCTGTGGAAGCTTTGCAGGTTTTTGTTTCAAATAGGGTAGGGCAAACAAAGCTGTGATTCATGAGCAAGGAGTTAGGAGCCACCTTGTTCATCTTTACTGGAAATGTCTCATCAAAAACAGATGTCAAAAATGTTCTTAATGTTAATAAAACATTTTCTAAATTGGAGAACATGAATTCTTTTTTATTTTCTTAGGAGAGAGACCAGTTGGCTAGCATCCTTGTTTTCAGGACAGAACATGGCTTCAATGAAACACAATATTCTGACACAATAGCTATGAGAATGTGGTGACAAGACGTAGAATGTGGCTGTAGATCTCCCTCTTTCTCACGTAAGGGTTTCTCAACTCTAAGATCTGTTGGTTTGAAGGAATATCTGCAGGTTTCGTGTCCAACTTCCTGCTCTGAGCAGAGCTGCTGCCAACATGAGCTCAGGTCAGCGATGAATTGTGTAGCCTGGAAAATCTCCCAGGCTGAGATGATGTAACTTGTCTGGGCAGCCTGTCCCAGTGCTGCATGGCTCTCTATGGAGAGGTTATGCTGCTTAACTCACAGAGTTTTCATTCCAAGTCTTCCTTATCTCAGACCTGAACCTCTTGCAGTGCTGCTCAGTCACTCAGGCTGTTGAGTGTGCTGCTGCTGCCACCTCTCCTGAGACCAGCTGTGCCTTGGGGCCTCCCCCAGTTCCTGTTCTGCTCTGCAGTGTAGGTGATGGGTGATGTTCATTGGCCACCAAGTGGGCTTTGGGCACAGCTCCTCAGTGCAGACCTCAGGGCAAGGTGCCCTGCGTTCCCTTGGGATGTGGGGAAGGGGCAGTGAGTGCTGGGTGCTGGGAGAGCACAGCAGCCTCACCCAGCACTGCTGGGGTGTTGCTTCCAGCTTCTTTATGACCTGGGCACTTACTCAAAGCTGAGGCAACTGCAAGTGTCAGGGTGGTACGAGAATGGATGCTGGTGTTTGTGGAGGTGCCTGGTGAAGCTCTGAGCCTGCAAGGCTTTTCGCAGCACCTGCTGTCCAAGCAAGAGAAGAGTTTGGAGCCTGGTGCTGTCGGGCTGTGCCTGCTTCCTTGCTTTCTGCCATGGGTGCAGGCTGGGAGTCTTCTTTTAAGTTTTGGGACAGGGCCGAATGTCTGCCAGGCAGATTCTGACTTCAACAAAATGTTTTTGGGGAGGATTTCTTGTGTGCTTGGGTGGGTTTTTTTTGTTTGTTTGTTTGTTTGCCTTTGGGTTTTTTGTTGCTTTTGTTCTGTTTGGAGGTGGTTTTTTGCTGTTTTGTTGTGGATGTGGTTCTTTCTTTTTTTCTTTTGCCGGTATTAAAATTGGGTTTAGCCACTTATACGAAAAAACTGAGCATCTGGAAATGTTGGAAGAATCACCTCTGCCTTGCTGCAGCCAGCTGTTATCCCCACACCTCCATCTACTTTGTCCACCACTCATTCAGAGCTGGCAGCATTCCTGCTTTCACTTCTGTTCCCACCTGAAGGCTGCTGCAGCCTCTGTAGCTGCTTAGAAACTTGCACACTGTTGTGAGAACAACCATAGCTGACTCAGGTGTTGATTTACACTGGTTTGATTTGCCACTGTGCTTTCACAGAGGGTGAGTTGAATTAAGGTCACCGATTTGAAACAGAACCTGTACCCATGTAGAGTTTTGCTTCATTATCCAGTTTGTATGTTGACAAGCTTGAGCTTTGACTTGGGCTTCTTTATTGGGGAGCATACATATGTGCATGCACAGATGTACACGTAAATAAATATTCAGGTTTGCATTTATAGCTTGCTGTGCAAGATACTGCATTTTATGGGACACCAACTGCTCTGTAATAACTCCCAGTGTGGATGTGGTATGAGTGCTTTGTGATGACACTTTCAAAACTATTGTGTGTGTTACTTTGCATTTAATTGTTCCCACAGAATAGATAATAATGCTGTACGTTTACACCCTCGCTCTGGGCTTGTTCTTTTCCTGGGTAGCCAAGCACCTCCTTCAGTCACCCAGGTGGATTCCTCTTCCCCTCCCAGCCCAAGTCTTTGATCTTTGTGCTGCGTGAGGCGGCCCATCCCATGCTGGGATCCTGGCACTGCCCTCTGGGGTGCTGTTGCATCGCTTCTGACTCACTGCGGCATCCAGGCCCACGCAAAGGACTTTTGGGATCAGGGAGGGGGGAAGGGAATTCATGGTGCTGGTCTGGCTGAGGCGTGCTGTGCTGTGGTGCTGCAGTTGAGGGCTTGCTGTCTGAGTGCTGCTGATGCTCCAGCTGTGCTATCAGAGCAAGTTTTAGCAACCTGGTGTTAAGAGCTCGTTTTCATTCACTGTTGACAGTGCTGGTGGGATCGGGTGGTTGTTGGCAGTGACAGAAAGTCCAGTTGGTGTTTTGCTGCTGGAAAAAGGACGTGATTAAAAAGCACATCTCAGCTGATCCTATGGAGAAGCAGTGCTGTGCTACATGTGGGGCAGCTGTAGACACAGTGGCAACGCCTTTATCTTGTCAGTCCTGTGCTGAGTTGCATCTGTTCACATTACCTGTGTTCTCCCAGTAGAGATTTGAGGCTTGGCTGCTGTCTGTTGGTGCATTTTGACATGTCCTGTGTCAGCTCACTTTGAGTTCCCTGGGATCTGCTGGCAGAAGGCTTGGCTTACTTCTCTGCAGCCCTCACAAGTGCTGCTGAAGCTGAGATCTGAGCATTCAAGCTCTCTGCAAAGAAAGCAAAGCAACTGAAAGAGGGAATCATGTAACCTCTACTAAAAGCCCCAGTGGAAGCGTTTCACTTACTGTGCTTTGCAAAGCCAGTTTAGATTTCACCATCAATACTCCAAAAAAAGAAAGAAAAAGAAAAGCAGCGAGTCTTTATTTGCTTCTGTCTGATACAAATTCTTCCATATCTCCACAGAGGTTACGGCTTCGTGAAGTTCACCGATGAACTGGAGCAGAAAAGAGCGCTGACGGAGTGCCAGGGAGCCGTGGGGCTGGGCTCCAAACCGGTGCGCTTGAGCGTGGCGATACCGAAAGCGTGAGTATGAGAGCAGCCCCACGGCCGGGGAGGAGCAGCATGTGGGATCCCAAGGGCTGTTAGGTGTCAGGCAGAGCTCTGGGTGCACATCCTGGATGTTTCCGTCACAAAGTAGAGGAATACACACAAATCTGGTGAAGCTGACGTCTGTCCGAATGCACAGACATCAACATTTATGCTGTTAGACCAAGACGAAGCATTTTACGCTGGTTTTAATTATGTAAATGATTAAATACACAAACACACACAGTATTTAAATGTGATTATTTGAGAAGTACGTGTTCCTTTGCGTTTACGTGAAATAGCCTAAGTCTGCTTATTGACTCCTGGATAGCAAAGCTCAATGACTTTGTTCACTTATTGCAATGTAAATATAAAACTTCTGGGGCAGGGATTAACTCTTTTTTCTGTTTGTTCAGAACCTGATACAGTGAGATCCTGCTCTGACTTGGGGCTCGTAGCACTAGGGTAATACGAATAATAGTTATTGCTCCCTGTTTGAATAACATGCAGATTGTTAGCGACCTCAGAAACCTTGGGGGGGTGAGGAAGAGAAAAGGGGATGTGCTGTGGGGAGCAGACTGGTGTTTCCCTCTGCCTGCTTCTCACTGGTTGCATCTTCAGTGGAGCTTTGTGCATAATGTGTTCTCATTTTCAAGCAACATTTGTCATCTCATTTCGAATCTCAGTGGTGAGGTGGGATTCCCAGCTTGTTGGGAATGCTGTCTCTTTATGGCAATGAATGAGGATTTCAGTTAGCTCGCTGTTTAAGGTTAATTTTTAATTACCCATTGTCCTTTTTACTTAAGAACCCTTTAAAGTATTTGCATTGAAGGTCATCCAGTGAAGTGAGGATGGGGACAATCAGGTGTTGCTTAGGCTCTTCTATGGCAGCAGCAGAAGGGAGAGATTTTGGACCTTTCTTTCTGAAAGAAACCCCAGTTCTACAAGGCTCTGAGTCTTTAACTCTTAATGAGAAGCAAAACTCAGTATCTTACCTCTGGAGGCTGCAGAATACTTTGTCTCATTTATCAGAAGGAAAAAGGGACCCAAAAATATGGATCATGGTTCAGGATATTCTAAACTGAGGCTCGTAGTCCCAAACTGTTCCCTTTCCAGAGCCAGGAGGTGATCCTAAATTAGTCATGAAGAACTAAAGCAATGTTTGTAAATGAAGATGAATATGAATACAGGAAGGAGGTTTGAATATAAACCACTTATTTCTTTCTGCATACGTATGTAAATGATGAAGATGACTTCATTCAAGAGTGAATGCGTTTTAGAGGCTGAATTGTGCATGTTAGAATAAAGCCTGTTGATGTACCATACCTTAAACTGTTTCTCTTCTGCTTTTACATAACTTTCTGCATGACATGTAACCTATTCCTGCCTTCTTTTTAAGTAACCGCATGAAGCCAGCAGAGTACAGCCAGATGTACAACTACAGCTACAACCAGTATTACCAGCAGTACCACAGCTACTATGCACAGTGGGGCTACGACCAGAACACGGGCAGCTACAGCTACAGCTACCCCCAGTATGGCTACACACAGAGCACCATGCAGGTAGGGCAGCGTGGAGAACTCGCCCTGCTCTGACTGCCAGCACAGAAACGCAGGAGAGCTTCAGAGCTGTGGGGGTGCTTGATGCCAGCAAGCTCTGGTGTCTCAGCATGGCTCCTTAGTGAGGAAGCAGAACTGCTCAGCAGCACCTGGTTTGCACTCTTGTCTTTTGGGGGGGTTCTTGCTTGGACCAAGTGAGCATAACGGGGCTCTAAATACAGTTGTCATGGCAGAAGGCTTCTAGGATCCTTCTAAGCTTTGTTTCAGAGGCTGAAACGGATCAAGACAGCCACAAACTGTGCCCTTTAAAGAACTACTGCCTCTGTGTTAAGTTTAGAGTGGAACCCACACCCTGGAGCCTGCCAGGAGAGGATCAGAGGGCTTGAGTGTGAGGAACGCTGTTGTAATCACTCAGATTTAAAAGTCACTGTGTGACAGTTGTAATCAGCAGTTGATGTTTATGTTTTTCTAATATTTTTATCTGCTGTCCTAAGGGTTTCTTTGTCCTTACAGACATATGAAGAAGTTGGTGAGGATGCATTGGAAGGTATGTTTCTTGAATTCTTTATTGAAGTCATGCTTTTCCTTTGTACTGATTGGAGACAGCCTTTCTCAAGCTGGCCTTTAGAAGCAGTGTACAATACACCTTTGCCTTTGATTAAATCTGAGCCTGATAACATTTGCTCCTCACTATCACCTGGCTGCATCTTTTACACTTGCTGCTCCCAGTCTAAACCTCATCAGGGCTGTAACTAATTGACTTCACCAGCACTGAGACCGTTGGTGGTTTCGTGTCCACATATCCTTTGCTCTGAAATCACATATCTTTGTTTTCTGTACTATACAGAATTTCATCCTTTGGGTTCGTTTGGTTCTCTGGTATGCTACAAAATCAATGTAGGCATTCTGTCTTGTCTATGGAATCTTGTTGTTTTGTGGAGTCCAGCATACTTCTTGGTGCTTATCATTTGAAAAAGGAATGATATCAGAGTGTCCTGATAAAGTATTTGTTTTAGCAGGCATTGGGTGGAATGGGTCACTAAACAATATTGGGGCTATAGATAAACATAGGAGCAGCGTTCATGCAAGAGAAAATTAATTTTATACTGGTAACTCCAAATCTTTGTCTTCAGTGGATTATGCACTGTATGGTGTATTTCCTTACTGTCTTAAAAATAAGAATTTAAAGAACATGTGGTGAAAGCAGAAAGCAGCTGGGTGCTGTGCAGAACCCGGGGGTGTAGGCAGTGATGTCAAGGAGAAAGCTGTGCTGGCTTTTGAAGCATTACACAAGGGCTCTCCTTTCTTCAGCATGCAGAAAGTGGAACTCCTGTGCTATAATTAGGGTATCTCTGGGGTGTCTTTTTCTTGTTGATTAAATTTCCTGTGCACTGATACGCTGTGAGGTGGTTGTGCTGTTAGGGACCACGATTGGCACAAGTTTTGCAAACTGTTCACCATGCACTGGTAGCAGCAGAGTGGATCCCACCGGGTTGCTGTGCAGCCCCCGAATGCTTTGCAAACACTTCATCCAGCTGTCAAACAGGAGATGTACTCGTGCTTAATGCTGTCGCTGGCACTTCTTCCGTTACTAACTGTGCAATGCTTTGAGATGTTTGAGGCTCCAGCAGATGAGCTGTGGTGACTGTGGCTGCAGAAGCAGATGCTGCCATCCCCATCCAAAGCAGAGGGAGCAGAATGGAACGTGTGCCTGCGCCCCTGCGGCTCCGCCGTGCCGTGGTGCCAGCACACCTCCTCTGGCAGTTTAAGTGGCCACACGGGGCTGCGAGGTGCAGGTATGCCTTCTCTCTGTTGGCTCTGCTGTTGGGGCAATGGCACTGAAAGGAGGGTTTGTCTGCTGTTAGATTTGTCCCATTGCTGGAAGATCTGCTAGGGCTGCAGTAGTCGGGTTGTGATCGGGGAAGCGGTGGGGATGATCTGGGATGTGCTGCACATTATTGTGACGTGTCTGTGGGGTGTGGGTGCTGTTCCCGACCCATGTAACACACAGCCTGTTTGTTTGCCTTTTCTCCTTTAGATCCAGCACCTCATTTGGATGTCCATGAAGCAAATAAACAGTTTATGGAGCAGAGCGAAGAGCTCTATGACGCCTTGATGGACTGCCATTGGCAGCCTTTGGACACTGTCTCGTCAGAGATCCCAGCCATGTTATAGCCTCGTTGCTGAGGCGCTGTCTGTGTGACGAATCCGCCGGTGCTCTGTTACTCTGCAAATGGATCCTGCAGGAGTCAGGGGTGGCCCCTTTCCACTCAGGTCTGTTACTGGAAGTCCAGGAGGAGTGTGGTGTTCCCCGTGCAACGCCGGAGTGCCGCGGGAGCACCGTGATAACTTCTGTTGGTGGTGGAAGTCGGAACTGCAGCGGTTTTATTCCTTTTGTCTTGAAGTGAACTCTTAATACTACTTGTAATTTATAAACTTGCATCAGGATGGCACAGGGGAAGGACTACTCCAACGTACAATAAAGAAGTTGGTCTTTTAAGTAAAATTACCCATTGCTTTTTGGTTCGTGCCCCCTTTCTGGTTTGCTGCCCATTTAACTGTCTTTAGTCAGTTGATCCAACACTTGTCCATGTGTTGGTTTGGTTTGGTTTTTAAGAGTCACTGTCAAATACCACTAAAATGTCTCAGAAGCTTCCTAGTGACTGGGTAAAGTTGCTGTAAGTTGAGTATGGGAAGGAATCATGTGGATGAAAGCCTATGTTCTGCTGAATCTAAGCTGTGATCTTGAACTAAGCTTGGTGTTCCTAAGCGTTTTGGAGAGCAAAGGCAGGAAGGAGTGTCAGAGAACCACTACAGACTGATGCCTTCTGCTTGATGGTCTCCAGCATGTTTGGCTTGCCTCTCCATCTGTGAGGAAAGAATTCCCCACCAGCCAAGCAGTTTAAAACACTTCTACCAGCAACCTTGTTGAAATGTTACTGTATGTACGATGCCTTTTTTGTTGTTGACAGGCCTCAGTGGCCCCTTTATCATGTTAAGGTTTCACAGCGTCTTCCACTGTCAGTAAATATGGTGAAACTGAGGATCTTGCAGCAAAAACGGGTCAGAGCAATCAATGTATTGTGCAACAAATTGTTGCTGACTTGGAAAGCGGTTTTCTACTGAATGTTGTATAAGCTGGATGATGGACAAGCAATATATTTAAGCGAATATTATCTTGCTTTAGAGGTGAAAGCAAAAATGATAGCACTTATGTACGTGTTATAAGCCCTTTTCAGGCTTTTGTGCCTTAAACTCTTTGAGAAATAGGAAGAGATAAACTACCTGTAATAAATGTCTGTCCAAGAAATGGTTTGGTGACTGATTGCTCATGCACAGCAGTAAGTTGCCTCCCTCCCCATATTGATGCAGAGATTTGCCACAAAATTTAAATACTTTCATAAAGCCTACTTCTGCTACACCTTTGTTTGTTTGTGATGTGTTTGTCCGTCTGTGGTCATTTTTATCAACTGCAATGGTGGACATAACTGTGAACATGAGGAAAACGGTGACCTGCACTGCATTGAATGTATTTCTGGTGTGCTAAGAGGATTCTGCATTCTCATCAGCTGGGAACTTTTATCTCCTGCTGCGCTTTTGACAGCGCGGTGGACCGTAAACAGTGATCTGACCTTCATGTGCTCTGTATTTAAGGCAATGAATGCTCCTGGTGTGTGCTGTAGCATCTCAAGGGCAGTGCAGAGATGCAGGAGAGCTCTTTCCCTTTGGTGAAGCTGCTCAGCGGTGCTGAATGCTGAAAAGTGGCATCACTCTGCTTGAGAAGCTCCTGTTGAGTAGAGTGGCCGAAATGAGGTGACATGAAGGTTCTTATGTTCTGCTGTGACTCACGTTCTACATCAGTGTTGATGTGCTGCAAGAGTGCTGCTCTGTACAGCCTTCATTTTCTCTTTTTGGCCTGCCCTCCCTGCCCCCCAGATTTCAGCTTTTATCATGCAGCCCTCCTGGTTGAAGACAAGCTCAGTTTATCTGTGCTGCTGTTGAAAGGCTGCCCAGCAGTGCTGCCCTGTTTAACGTTCCCTAATACCCACAGCAGCTCTGTTACACACTGCTGACTGACACAGCCTGGTGCTTGCAGGAGGTGGGGAATGAAGGGAAGCCACACTGTCTGAAGGTTATTGCAGAGCAGCTCCCTTCACAAGCAGGAGCCCTTGGGCAAAATTGTTTTGCTGTCTTCTTTTAGATCTGTGGCAGAAAGAACGTTTGGAGAGATAAGTCTGATGCATCGTTATGGCATCGCCAAGCTTCTGGGATAGCTGTGTGCACACAGAAGGGGATCAGGACAATAGCAGGGCGTTGGGAGCACACATCCGTTTCTTACAGTGATGTCAAAGCTGGGAATTACCTGGGAGAGAAGGAGAAGCAACCAAATTGCTCCCCTGCTCAGCTGGGGTGAATGGAAAAGGAGGCAGCTTTTTGTCTGTACCTCATTGTGGGTGGGAGAGGTGCAGCACCAGGCTTCGTGAGGCATGGAAGCATCCTGCCCAGCTTAACTCTGTAGATGTGGGCTTTTAATTGCCATCCTCTTGGGGTTGTTTGTGGGAATCTCAGCCAGTGCTCTGCTGAGCTGGTAATCTCACCGTGCTTCTGTCTGCATGTAATTGATTTATCTCTGTGCTCGTTTTCAGCTCCTGGCTACTATTGCAGCACCTGCAGCAGGGAAGGCACTTTTATGTGGAACTACAAAGCAGCCTCATTTGTGGTGTCACCTGCATTTGTGGTGTTTGTTTTGGAATCCAGGTTGAAGAGAGTGTGGGATTTTGTTTGTTGTGGATGGCTAAAGGAAAAGCCCTCATTAACTCCCATTTGGTGTAACACGAGATGAAAAACAAGGCCTCCGTGCAGCAAGATGAATTTTGCTTTTATCTTTATGTGCTGAAGGCAAGAAATCTAAGGCAGAGGATATCACAGCTCACTGGGATAATGTAATTCTTGAACACTGCATCAAAATCTGTGGCTTAGACTCAAGCATTCTGCCTTCCAGCATGCAGTGTCTACTCACAGCTTCCAAAGTGACTTCAACGTTCTGATGTTATTTGACTGAAATGCAATGGCCCAACCTGGGTTATCCTTCAGATTGCAGGAGATGTCAGATGACAACCTGAGTTGCAGAGGCTGAAAACCACACGTTGCCAAGGAGTGCTACAGGCTGCAGGATTCTTCTGAGTGCCATGGAAGGAGTGGAGCAGCTTTGGTCTGATCTTTAAGTATTCTGTCTCTGTCCCCTTACTGGCTTGCTAACCCCCAGCTTTTCCAATGAGGCTGGGGAGGAATTTTTACCTTCCAACCTCGCTGCCTCCCACCCCACGTCATAAAACACCCATTTCTGGATTTAACTTGGGATCTACTTGAACGTGAAGTGAATTTGATGCAATGACCACGTTTAAAAACCGATAAAGCTAGTTCAGCCCTCTGACAAAGCTCTCTTTACCTTTTTCAGATGAGATGATTCAGAGTCCATTACACTTCCTCAGAGCGTACGCATTCATCAATTACACACCCGATAATTAACACAGACACGCCTATCTCAGGTAGTGATTTATGAGGTCTCCAGTCTTCTATTCCACGGTCTCTTCTCCCTCCTAGCGTCCTTTTAGCATCATGACCAACCAACAGCCTCTTACTTCATCCAGTGCTCCTCCTCGCTCCCCCTAGATGAACTGTCCTCACCGAGGCATGCTCAGAACTCCAATTGTAAGCTATAGGCACCAACCGCACGGAACTACAACTCCCAGAAGGCACCGCGGGAACACCCGTGCTCAGCAGCCAATCAGCGTGCGCGCTGCCGCCCTATAAAAGCCCACGGCGGGCCGCCCTCTGTCTCTCTTTGAGATGGCGGCGGGTGGCTGCGCTCGCTGCTGTGCGGGGACAATCCGCCGCCATCCGCCATCTGACGAGGACCCGCCGCGTCGGTGCCCCGGGGAGTCGGCGGGATGATGTGGCTTCCTCCGTGGTGCGGGATCTGGGCTGCCGTGGGTGAGCGCCCACCTGGGTTGGGGTGGTTGTGGTTGTGGGGCCCGCCCGGCCCTATCGAAGCTGCGCCTGCCCTGCGCTGTGGCAGCCGCAGTCAAAAAGGAGCCGAGAGCCACGCGTTTTCCTCGACGGTCGCTGCACAGTTTGGTTTTCTGTAACTGCCCAGCAACAAATCGGGAAAATACAGGGGCTGCGGCTCTGCCTGCAGTGCTCTCAGGCACTGATGATAGCAGACCTGTGCTTCGTTTGGAGGGGTGCTGGCGAGTGGGCAGAGCAAGGCGTTGCTGTTCTCTAAATGCTTTTCTCCCTAAGGAGCGGTGTGAGATGCTGTTCCTGTCGTCACCCGGTGCAGGAGGCGGTGCTGGGCAGGTGAGCGGTGCTGGGGGTCCTCACAGCTGCAGTTGGAACTCTTCCTCAGCTCCATCAGAGCTGCCAGCTTCCCCTCGCTGCTCTACCTAAATTGCTTTTAGAGGGGTGGAGAGGTTTTGTGCAGCATCCCGTGACTCAGAACTGGGAATCGAATCCCAGATCTTCCAGATCCGAAGCCAACAGACTGCTCTGCTTCTGTTGTGTCTGCTGCTCTGTCTGGCTTTTCTAGCTGTAACAGGCCTTGGCCAAACCCACCTGCATGTTAATCCAAGAGCTGTGGTTCTGATATAGCTGCAGGTCTCCAACAACATGCAAGAACAACAGGAAGGTCTTTGACTGCTCGGCCTCTTCTGCCTGTTGCTGTCACTCACCCCTCCTATATATTTTTCAGCTTCTAGCCAGGGTGTTGCCCCCTCCTGTGAGGGCTCTGGTGGTTTGGGGGCTGGTTGTGTCAGTATTGATGATATCTGAAGCCTGGTGCTGATTTTGGGGGTGTTGTTGTATTGTGTTCCAGGGTTTCTCGCTGTTCGGAGCTCACTGCCTGCCTGCTGATAGACCCAAGGTGAGAGAGTGCCTTTGCCAGAGCTCTGTCCCTCCAGATCCCTTTCCCATCAGATCTGAATACCGATCTTGTGGTCGAAAAAGGAGGAAAAGTAACATTCAGACTGGCCTTGGCCTCTCTGCTGGCACAGCCCTGCTCTGAGCAGAGCCAGTTTGAAGACAATCAGTGTTTGCTTTGTTGCCCTGGGGGTGGCAGCAAAACAGAGCCGTGGGGTGAGGGTTTGTGCTCTGCTCCTTCCTTGGGCGCTGATTCTTAGTGCACGATGGCTGTTGAACTGGAGATGCCTACCTGGGGCTCTGTTGTCTTTTTCAGGAACTGCACACTTAGTGGAAGAGTCTGAGAGCCCGTGAGACCCCGTGGAAATTATTGGTGTGCTTTCCTTAAGGCTGAAACTGGAGAAACTGAAGTGGAGCATGTCAGTGCCCCTTGTGAGTAATTGCCGGGCGTTTCGGGGGGGTTGGAGTGAGATCTTGCCAGTGCTGGTTCACAAAGGGCAATGGGAATGGGGTTTGCAGGTTGGAATTACAGACTTCATTAAAGGTCTGTAATTGGGCAGCCTCATTTGTAGGGCAGAGCTCCTGTGGGAT